GTGATCAGTGTTTCTTTGCCCGCTTCTTTCCTGAAGTTTCATCTGTTCCCCAACCAGTCTTCAGAAGGTTTATATTGAATGGGGTGCTTACGGGCTGTATTGAATGAATCTGTTGTAGAAAGAGAAAGCAGGAAGATCTTATTCCAATGTATCCCCAGGCTTGGAGTAAGTCGGTGCTCTTTGATTCATAGGTGCTATTCTAGAATCTGATTATTATCTAATAACATCTCTAGAGCAGTATTACAGAATGTGGTGCTTTATGGACAACTACTGTATGTTCATGAGAAAACCCCTCCCAACAGACATTGGCTGCATATACACAGCACCCTTAGCCTGGTATCTGAACTATTTCATTTTTTGAGTTTCTATGATATACTGAACTATAAAATAACCAAAAGCTCTGATTTCACACAACATGCTTGGCCACACAAAACATGTTGAGCACGCTGGATAAATGCACCTGATAGACTTTTTCATGACTTGCTATGTGTACAGTATTGTAGGAACACAGTCACTCTGTTAGAGCTGATCATGTGTGTTTGCCCAGACTCCTCTTGGTTTCTTCTTATGCATAATTATGGTTGAAATAATTGGTTTACTAATATATTCTTTTAGTTGCATTGGCAATAAATGACAGTTCCTTTTAAAGGTGCATGACAAAATTCTTTTAAGGAAATTGAATGCCTTATTACTCTAGGATTTATTCATAACCATTGCTTTGACAATGAACAATTTCTTTAAATTTCTCAAAAGACATTGTCTTTGACAAATTACCTTCCCTTCAAAAATGAAAAATGCAAGAATTGCACTGCTACAGGGGAAAAAAAGAATGAATTAGAGAAGCAATTGTAAGTTTGAGGTGCAAGTGGCTGGAAGAAAGAGAGCTGCTGACAAAAAAAAACTCCCATGCTTAGCTCATGCTATCTGAGGTACAAGTTGCCCAGCATATAATCATATTTGCTAAACAATTCATTAAGCTGACATTTACCAGTGCTCTTTGGGGACTGAGTTAGTTGAAGTAGAATATGACATGAACAGTATTTGACATTTTGCTGCTGGTTGAAAGGATGCATTTTAAGCATTTCAATGCTGTATTCATTACAATCAATAGAATAGAATTGAATAACTGTTACTGTGTTATGTGGCACTGGCAAAAGATAAAGATTGGCTATGGCCAAATATTGTTGGTATAAATATTGGCACTTAAAGCATAGTGATAAGGATAGAAAGGCATCAATACTTCCCTGGTGTAATTATATCCATGGAACTGCTTTCCAGTGACCTTTTTTAGGGTTACCTGGACTTTTTTAGATGACTGTGGAGATTTTCAGTCATCCAGGTCATGGTTGTCCCAAAGGTGCTTTTTCAAAAGGCAACTGGACTTTATTTTTCCTTGAAAACATTTTGCTTTTCATCCAAGAAGCTTCTTCAGGTGACCCTTCCAGTGATGCTGAGGGCACAGATAAACCTCCAAGTGGCCTCAACGACTTTCAGAAAGAGAATTAACAACCAGATGACTGCAAGGAGTATAAATCCTGCCATCCTCCACTATTCAGTCAGAACTGAAGAAGCTTCTTGGATGAGAAGTGAAACATCTTCAAGGAAAAACAAAGGTTTGGGCAAATCAGAAGAATCAGGCACTGTAACAGACTTTTTGCTGGGTAGTTTATAGCCAAATCTATTGAGATGATAGGAGTAATACTTTGTGAAGTGAGCCTAAATGGAGAGAGTGGGCTGTCTGATGTCTCAGCAGTGTTTGATTTCATTCAACTTGGTATCCTTTTGTTTGCCTGGGAGAGTTGAGGTTTGAAAGAATATTATTCAGTGGCTCTACTCTCCGTCAGTTTTGATGGGGAAGGGCAGTTTGAGCTTTAGACATTCCAGTATGAGGTTTTGACCTTTCCCCCATTTTCTTTAAGTTTACATGATATCTTTTAGGGACATCATCCATCAGATGGGATATAATACGATCAGTATCCCAATAATACAAAGCTTTATATGTCTATCCCAGGAGATGCTATGGATCTCTGATCACTGGATACCCGGGGGCTATGAGGGACGGTTGGGAAAATTCTCACCAAAATGAAGCTATTATCTATGTTCAAATCTTCTAGTACCAGTTTTGGTTCTGGATGAGATGGCATTCATCTGAAAGTGGTGGTTTAGGATTCCTCCCAGAATCCTGGTTTCTGTTAGGTTATCAAGTGGGAGGTTTTGGCTAGTATATCCGTTTTGGCCTTTTCTGATTCAACTGTTATTGTTGACCATGACTCGTGCTTTTATAATTACTTGGTTACATTGCTGCAATTCACTCTCCATGGCATAGCTCTTAAAGGCAATTTAGAAGCGGCAGTTGGGACTAAATCAGTGGTCTACATTTTGAGAAGAACCAACTTAGCACCACCAGCCAATGTGTAGAATCTGCACTGGTTGCAGTAGATTTCAAGATCCAGTTCATGGTCTGGTTATTATCTATATAATCTTTAAACCCTTTGTGGTCTGTTAATGTGGAGGCTGTCTGCTCCAAATAAAATCTCCCTAACTAATCTATTCAGGCTATTCCCTTCTTTTGGGGCATGGAAGGACAAAGCTCAGCATTTGCTTGCTCTGGAAAGGGATGTCACTTGAATGGAGTGATTGGTTTTTTGGGGGCTATCTTAGGGTTCTGGGAGTATTTAGACATTATTTTGTTGATTGTAAAGCACTCAAAACTGGAATGAATTTGGCAGCATCCCTATTTTTAAAAAATGTTAAAATGTCAATTCAGTTTAACTGCAGCATTTGCTAATTATAATAGTAAAAATACCATATCATCTAACAATTCTGAAAAACAGAGGAAGACGTCTAGATAGGTAAACATGACACCATAACACTACATGGCTTCAGTGTGAGGAGAATAATATAATATTACCTGTTTATTAAAAAAGTAATCTTTGAAAAATGTCCATCATATCCATAGTATTGCTATTAGTATACTATTATTATGATATTGATTATTGCTTTCTTTTATTCTATCAAGGTAATTAAATTAAATTAAATTAAATTAAATTAAATTAAATTAATTAAATTAAATTAAATTAAATTAAATTAAATTAAATTAAATTAAATTAAATTAAATTAAATTAAATTATTAAATTGAAATACTGAAAAGTTTTATTCATAGTATATCTTTTACATTTCTGTGAATATTTCTTATCATTCATTCTTATTGATTTACTAGCTGTACCCGGCCACGCATTGCTGTGGCTCAGTCTGGTTAAATGGAAAAGAAAGAAAAGAGAAAGCGCATGTTTCTAATATGTTTAATTTCACAATGCTTGTGGGTATACAATATTTTTTGTTGTTCCATTGTCTGTGCATCAATTTCAACGCAATGTGACACGAAATAATTAAATCAAAATGAAAATAAATCAAAATCTATGAAAATTCAATTTAACAATGCAATCGGAAACATTGAAATGGAATCGTAAAATTGGAAATTTGGAAATCGTAAATGGATCGTAAATCGGAAACATTGAAATGGAATGGTA